AACCCGTGGATTTGCCCTAACCCCAGATGTTGCGCCCGGTGCGGCCGGCCCCCCCTGCACCCCCCACGCTACGCCACTGATTATCAGATCATATACTACTTCTACTACTGTCATTCACAGATCATACATACGTAGATGAGTGATTCCCAAGCCTGGGTCTCCAGCTGTTTCTGGACTACAATTCCCATCATCCGTGGCCACCGGTCCTGCTAGCTAGGGATGATGGGAGTTGTAGTCCAGAAACAGCTGGAGACCCAAGTTTTTTTTGGGGGGAAAGACTGCACTATCCAAGGTCAGCCTGGCCATCTCGGTCCTCCTCCAACCTCGTCTCCGCTCCTGGCTCCGAAACGAGTTCCGTCCCTGCCCAACTCAGAGCATCCCCCAAATTGGGAGCGATTTCTGACTTCCCAACTGGGCCAGTTCCCCTTAGGAAGGATCCGAGGAGGAATGGGAAGGAAGTGGGGTGGGGTCCCTTCTCCTCCTTCCAGCTCCCCCGCCCCCCGCTCCAAATCCGCCCCTTCCCTCCCTCCATCCTACCTGACGCCTCTTCTCACCTGTAGCGCCCGATCCGGCAGCTCCCTTCCGCCGTCCGGAACCCGGAGGAAGCAATATGGGTGAAGCCCCGCCCCTTCCTTCCGAGGCCAACTTCCTGCCACTCTAGGAAGCAGAGCTCTGTGCATTAACCCTTCGCAGGGCTTAAGGTGCGCGCGCGCGCTTTCACACACCAACAAACGCGAGCTTCAACACGCTCTTGGGGAGTTTTTTTAAACAACACGTAGGGGGGGGAAATATATAAATCAAAAAGCGGTAGCCAGCAGTCTCCCAAGCAGGAAAAGTGTCATAATGTGACCCGCATTCCAGGGGGTTGGGCTAGATGACCCTTGGAGGTCCCTTCCAACTCTACTTTTATCTTGCATAGCAAAGGAGCGATCACATGTACCTGTTTTGTGACAGCCCACCATATTTTAGCTGAGTTAGCTGAGCACAGGCCCAAAGAAGAGCTCGACTTGCGTTTTCATTTGTGTAAAATAGAATTTGCTTTCCTCATGTTTTTGTTGTTGTTCTTTAGTCGTGTCCGATTTTAACTTCCTGCCTCTCTAGGAACCATATTTTAGCTTCCTGCCTCTCTAGGAACCAGACTGCCTGCCCCTCTAGGAACCAGAGCTCGCTTCATTTGCCCAGTTGGAGGACTAAATGAAAGGAGCTGCAAGATTTCTCCTCACCCTTCTCCTCTTTAAAGATTTCCAGAACCTTACAGGCTCATTCCTTCAATTCCCCCAGGCATCCACTTGTATCTCACCTGCTACCAAAATTCAGTTCTGAATCAGGAAATAATAATAATAATAATAATAATAATAATAATAATAATAATAATAAATTTTAGTTATACCCCGCCCTCCCTGGTCAGAGCTGGGCTCAGGGCGGCTACCAGTAAAATTAATGGGGGGAAAACCAATTTAAAATACAGGTTAAAATGCAATTTAAAATGCAGCCTCGTTTTAAAAGTAGCCCACAGATCAAAACCATAAGGGGAGGGAAACATAAGGGTCAGACTGAGTCCAAACCAAAAGCCCAGTGGAAAGATGTCAAGTCCTGCAGGGCCCTCGTCTCTTGTGACAGAGCGTTGCACCAAGTTGGGGCCAGTACTGAAAAGGCCCTGGCCTTAGTTGAGGAAGTATGTATTGTCACATCCCAAGCAGCCATCTTTGTACCTCCTTCACATTTTGCCCCACTGTGGCCCAGCCTGGACAAGCCCTAGAATTCACCGTGGCAAAGCTACTGGGTCGTTCCCCTACAGAGGTTCAAGCCAAAGAAAACCACTGCGTTCTTTTCCATTGGTGAGCAATGGCTCTCCATTATGTAACATGGTAGGCCTTGTTTTACATAACATATGTCTGCCCCCCACCTACCCAACCCCCCTCCAAAATCCCCAGAGGCGAGCTAAACTAACACATAAAAATGCCACCCTGTAATCTGTAAGAATGGGGAACTAAGTCTGCCAAGATGGTAACCAACGAGATGGAATGTGAACCAAATCACTGAAAATACGGTCAAGCCACCATGTGGAAAGGATCTGATGAAGCAGGCAGCCTGTGGATCAGGACCCACTGTTTTGCCCAGTTACAGATAGGTAGCCGTGTTGGTCTGCCATAGTCAAAACAAAAAAAATTCCTTCCAGTAGCACCACTGGAAAGAGAAGCTGCTGAATTGCAACTCATTACCAAACTTAAAACCATGGAGAGACCTGGTCTGAACAAAGACATTGGATTCTTATCTCATTATACATGACAAAGCCATTTTTCACCTTCTCACCCCTTGCTTTTTCCTGTAAGACCTATTGCAGTCGTTAAGAGTCGTCAACAGGCTCACCACAGCTATCTGCCAATCACCCATTCCCACCACCCTTCTGAGTAATACCCCTCCCCACCTTCTCACTATATAGAAGGATCTGGCAACTTCTGTTTCAGTGTATCTGAAGAAGTGTGCATGCTCATACCAAGAACTAACTTAGTTGGTCTTTAAGGTGCTACTGGAAGGATTTTTTTTTGTTTTGCCCAGTAAAAGGTAAAGGTACCGCTGCCCGTACGGGCCAGTCTTGACAGACTCTAGGGTTGTGCGCCCATCTCACTCAAGAGGCCGGGGGCCAGCGCTATCCGCAGACACTTCCGGGTCACATGGCCAGTGTGACAAGCTGCATCTGGCGAGCCAGCGCAGCACATGGAAACGCCGTTTACCTTCCCGCCAGTAAGCGGTCCCTATTTATCTACTTGCACCCAGGGGTGCTTTCGAACTGCTAGGTTGGCAGGCGCTGGGACCGAGCAGCGGGAGCGCACCCCGCCGCGGGGATTCGAACCGCCGACCTTTCGATCGGCAAGCCCTAGGCGCTGAGGCTTTTACCCACAGCACCACCCGCATCCCCTGTTTTGCCCAGTAGTGAACATAAAAAGGTCCACCCCTTGTACACAGTTCAACTTCCATTGAATTCTGACTTGGAGCTTCCCTCTTTAAAGGCAAATGGGGACAGACTGAGGTGCTTATCCCCAGCTTAAGGTAGTATGAAAGCACACAGCATTAAAAAAAACCCACACACAATAAACAAGGAAAAAGAGGACATACGGATCTTGAGCAGGAAATCCAGAAAAAAGGGGGGAGAGGGACAGGCCTTTATATCTAGCAGAACTTCCCCTCCCTGTTCCAAGCCACTATGCTAAAGGAAGCTGCTTCTATGGGATTTATGGGACCAGTGCTTAGAAAACCCATTTAAAAAAGGAACTAGTACTGGTTCCTGTTCATCCTTATCAAGAATGAACTAGTCCAAAAAGTTCATCCGTGGAAACTTGTTTCCAGCCTTCCAAATCTTATAAGCTCCTGTGCTGAAATATGGGGTCCAATAGTAAGTTGAGGTGAAAACTAGGCATAGATCAGGGGTTCCCAATCTGAGGACTGTGGACCACAGAATGTGTGGCGGAACTATCACATTAAATACTTCTATTGTGTTTTAATTGTATTTTTCATATTCTCCACACTGATTTTTTAAGAGGACCTTTATTGCTTTATTTGTCGCTGAATTTTGTTGGTTTGAAATTTGAATTCCTTATACAGTGGTTACAGACGCTTCAGGTTACAGACGCTTCAGGTAACAGACTCTGCTAACCCAGAAATAGTACCTCGGGTTAAGAACTTTGCTTCAGGATGAGAACAGAAATCTTGCAGCAGCAGCGTGGTGGCAGCGGGAGGCCCCATTATCTAAAGTTATCCTCAGGTTAAGAAGTTTCAGGTTAAGAACGGACCTCCAGAACGAATTAAGTTTTTAACTCAAGGTACCACTTTACAGCATCTAAAACAGTACTTTATGATTGCTAAACTTCAGAATAATCATTGTGGTCCAGAAATACGCTCAGCAGTTTCTCAGTCACTCAGGACAGCCCTTGAAGACAGGAGCTTGAGAACCACGATTATAGATCATGGATGATTCCTGGGTTGTGTAGGGGACTAGGCTGTTAAAGAGGCGTTAATGAGTGTTGGGTGTGTGCCTGTGCAAAGCAGCCATAAGCAGGATTTCTTCAAACCAAGATCTTGTTGTTTTTACTTGGAATAACAGAATTCCATAGGAAGCTCAGGACTGTGTACCACAACAAGCAGTGAATCCCTCAAGGTCTTAATCAGAGATTTTCTCCGGTGCTACAGCTTTCCCCAGAGGCCCCTCTATGTAGATTCTCTGATAAGTAAACTGACTACTCTAACGGATTCCACATTCCATGCATTTAAATGGTTTCTCCCCGGTGTAGATTCTCTGATGATGAATGAGGTGACTACTCTGCCAAAAGGTCTTTCTGCACTCTCTGCATTCACCCCTGTGTGGGTGTACTTCGATGTGAAGTAAGCTTACTGCTCACTCTGAGGCTCTTTCCACACTCCCTCCATTGAAATGGTTTCTCCCCTCTGCGAGTTCTTTAATTTTTTTTAATGTTTAAATGCATTTATTAAATCACATATAATTGTGCCCTCTACAGGCATAGTATTAGTATATTCCAATAAAAACTCCAGCGAACCCAACTTTTCAGCAGAGGATTTAACCCAGCATCTCTACTCCTCTCTCCATTCTTTTGGGGTAATTCGACCAACAGGAGACAAATTCCATTCTATTCCTGTTTGTGTTACAACATAGCTCCAAATGGAGGCACAAAACAGAGCCCCACCAAGCAAAATCAAGCTGCCATATTTGTCATGAAAATCAGGCCCATGTTTGCTGCGAACTTGTCTTGCCGCAGGCCGCTGCACGCCACGAGCCGCCAAGCCCAGAGCTCCCCTCGCCCAACGAAAAAACATCTCTCCGCCTCAGGATCGGACTCAGCCCCTCCGACTTGATTTCCTTGTTTTCCGAAGGTTGTGTCTGGTTAAGTTCTTCTTACAGCTGACCCCACAAACCACTACTGGCCTTCTGTTCCAAAGTTGTGTTCCCCCACCATTTTAAAACCCTGCGAGTTCTTTTATGATGAGTAGGGTGACTACTCAAGACTCAGGTGCTCTCAACACTCTATGCATTCAAACGTTTTCTCCCGTGTGTGGGTTCTTTGATGTTTAGTAAGGCTACCGCTCTGTGTAAAGCTCTTTCCGCACTCCACACACTTAAATGGCTTCTCCCCTGAGTGTTTTCTTTGATGTACAGTAAGTTTACTGCTCTGTGTAAAGCTCTTTCCGCACTCCATGCATTTAAATGGCTTCTCCCCGGTGTGCGTCCTTTGATGTGTAGTAAGATTACTGCTCACTCTAAATCTCATTCCACATTCCATGCACTGATATCGTTTCTCCCCTGTGTGGATTGTTTGATGTTCAGTAAGGTTACTGTTTGCTCTAAATTTCATTCCGCATTCCATGCATTCAAATGGTTTCTCTCCTGTGTGGGTTCTCAAATGTCTGCAAAGGCTGCTCCTCCTATTAAAGCACTTTCCACACTCCCTGCATTTAAATGGTTTCTCCCTTGCGTGGGTTTTCTGATGTGTAATAAGGTTACAGCTCAGGCTGAAGCTCTTTCCACACTCCAGACATGTAAATGATTTCATCACAGTGTATGTTCTTTTTTCAGGCATTCTGGGTCCCTTGTGATTTCCAAGCATCTCTTTTCCAACTTCAGGCTTGGCTGCTGCCGACGACTCCATATGTGGTTCCCTACGTAGCTTGTTGTTTTGTACATCATCTGCAGAGTGTGGAAGGAAAGGGGAAAGCATGTTTTATCTCTATTCTTTTTCATCCTGTAAAAATTTAATGCTTTTATTTAAATCACCAAAACAGAAAACTTGTTCCCAAGAACTAGGGGGAAAGTACACCTATTGTATATGAATAGTTTGATAAGATCTGGTCAATAATGCCAATGATTATATTAGCTTATTATAGACGGGTACACATAATTCAACCTGGTAAGACACAGGAATATGGGTATTATTTGTAATGCCCTGGAATAATAAGTTTATTGATAATAGCCCATTGCTGCCTTCAATTATATACCCAGCACATGGAACCTTACAAAAGGACAATACGAGTGGACTCTCCATGCCCTTACCACAGCAAAAAGACTGATACAGTGGTACCTCGGGTTACAGACGCTTCAGGTTACAGACGCTTCAGGTTACAGACTCCGCTAACCCAGAAATAGTACCTTGGGTTAAGAACTTTGCTTCAGGATGAGAACAGAAATCGGCGGCAGCGGGAGGCCCGATTAGCTAAAGTGGTACCTCAGTTTAAGAACAGTTTCAGGTTAAGAACAGACCTCCAGAACGAATTAAGTTCTTAACCTGAGGTACCACTGTACTGATGAACTGGGAAAATAAAAATGCGGCTCCCTTCTACGATTGGATTGAAGACTTATACAAACTCGAAACATACAAACAACTTGCATACAATAAATGCAGACTTGCCATGGACAAAATTTGATGGTATTTGTAAAGCAATGTTTTTATTTTATTGTACCTTGCTTTTAAGAAGAATCACATTTAATTTCAAGGCAGAAACAATCACAGACTGAGCCCAATTAGGTGTTTCTCAGATTTTTTGCATCTATGTGATTGCCCCCTGTGATTGACCTGCTGAAATCAAGGTCACCTTTTGAGCATTCCAGAATCCCACAGAACCTCTTATTCCTTTCTGGTCCATATACCACATGATGTCATTAAAATTAGATGTGCATGATATCTTCTCCTTTGTAACAACAGTGGTATATACATTTCTACCAGAATAAGGAGAACAGAAGTCTATGAAAGCTGGGAAAGAGGCCAAACTGGGAAGATCACTAGCTGCTCTGTGATTCCAATGACTTTAGTTGCAGTCACAAAATTCCAGGGATTAAACCTAAGGCCATCTACATGCAAAGCATGTCGCCAGGGCCCTGAAATGAAGGTTTGGAAACTGCTTTCAAAGCAGCAGACAGGTGAGTAAATTATGAAGATGGCTCCCAGACAAAGTTAATTCCTACCTGATGATGTCTCTCTTCTCCTTCCCAACAGATCTCCTTTGCAACAGGAATTGAGGTCTGACTCTGTCAAGGAAACAGAGAAGGTGGCTTATGTTTGGTCACATAATACTCAGCAATTCAAAGTCGAGCCTTTTAAAAGCTAACAAGAGGTATTATTTTGATTTTGCAACTCCTGCATGAAGTGAATAGATAGAACATGTCTGTGTCCTGCGTCCCAGCGAGATCACTTTGGAATGATGCTGTGGAATAATAATAATAATAATAATTTATTATTTATACCCCACCCATCTGGCTGGGTTTCCCCAGCCACTCTGGGCGGCTTCCAACAGAATATTAAAATACAATAATCTATTAAACATTAAAAGCTTCCCTAAACAGGGCTGCCTTCAGATGTCTTCTAAAAGTCTGGTAGTTATTTTTCTCTTTGACATCTGGCGGGAGGGCGTTGCACAGGGCGGGTGCCACCACCGAGAAGGCCCTCCGCCTGGTTCCCTATTATTGGAAACCAGCCAATAAATTATTGTTATTGTTATAAGAAAGAAAAGTGTCCTTACCAAGCGAGGCCACCGTCTCATAATTGCCCTCCATGACTTCCCTGTGCAGAGCCCTTTGGCTGGGATTCAGAAGGGCCCACTCCTCTTCCGTGAAAAACACAGCCACCTCCTCGAAGGTCAAGAGAGCCTGGAAGGTCATCAGGCCCTGGAAGTAGAAAAAATACGGTAAGAGGTTCACCATGCACCATCCTCCTGACAGGCAAGGGCAACACAGTGGTTGGATGCTGTCCCTTTGAGATCTTTCAGAGATGGCCACCAAGGTGGGGGCTCAAAAAGAGGACTTGACAAATTCACGGTGAGGAAAAAGCTATCAGTGGCTACTAGCCAGGACAGCTATTGTCGGCTTCCAAAATTCGAAGCAGTTATACCTGCTGGGAACCACAAGAGGGGAGAGGGCTATTGGACTCAGGTCTCACTTGGAGGGCTTCCTACAGGAATCTGGGTGGCATCTGTGAGAACAGGGTGCAGGACCAGAGGGGCCCTTGGCCCCATCTGGCAGGCTGTTCTGATATAAGGCCAAACGTGGAGGAGGAGGAAGAAGAAGAAAAAGAAGAAGAAGAAGAAGAGGAGGAGGAGGAGGAGGAGGAGGAGGAGTTTGGATGTGATATCCCACTTTATAACTACCCGAAGGAGTCTCAAAGCGGCTAACAATCTCCTTTCCCTTCCTCCCCCACAACAAACACTCTGTGAGGTGAGTGGGGCTGAGAGACTTCAGAGAAGTGTGACTGGCCCAAGGTCACCCAGCAGCTGCATGTGGAGGAGCGGGGAAGCGAACCCGGTTCACCAGATCATGAGTCTACCGTTCTTAACCACTACACCACACTGGCTCCCATGGAGACAACAAGGCATTATTATAGTGTGTGTGTGTATTATATTATATATAATTATATACCCAGCAAATGGAACCTTACAAAAGGACAATACGAGTGGACTCTCCATGTCCTTACCACAGCAAAAAGACTGATACAGTGGTACCTCGGGTTACAGACGCTTCAGGTTACAGACACTTCAGGTTACAGACTCCGCTAACCAAGAAATAGTACCTCGGGTTAAGAACTTTGCTTCAGGATGAGAACAGAAATTGGCGGCAGCGGGAGGACCGATTAGCTAAAGTGGTACCTCAGTTTAAGAACAGTTTCAGGTTAAGAACGGACCTCCAGAACGAATTAAGTTCTTAACTCGAGGTACCACTGTACTGATGAATTCGAAAAATAAAAATGTGGCTCCCTTCTACGACTGGAATGAAGACTTATACAAACTCACAACGTACAAACAACTTGCATACAATAAATGCAGACTTGCCATGGACAAATTCGATGATATTTGGAATCCATACTTGCAAATGATCTGGTGAAGTACAATACCTACCTTGCAAAGTATGCAGTTTTGGGTTCCCCCCCTCCCCCCTTTATTTATCCTTCTGCACCGGTTCTGTTTCTCTTTTTGTTTACGTCTCAACATGTTCAGTGCACATATAATTATGTACTTTATGAACTTTCAATAAAGATTCTTTTATTATTATTTTAAAAAGACATATTCTTTCAGAGCCGCTCCCCACTCAGCCCACAGAGACTCAATACACTCTTGCCTCTCCCAAAACAATCCTTTCCTTACCTGGGATGGTTGCCTGGCAGTTCTTTCTGCTCCTTCTACAGACGGTGTCTCAGAAGCCATTGTGCTGCCAGGAGGAGATGAAAGAAGAGGCCTAAACTGGACCACTCCTGGGACACCTGGAGCTGCTACAAATATGTCCTTTAAAATAGGGTGTAACTTGCAAATGCCTGCAAAGGAGAGACAGGGAGTGAGGAGGATTCCATCCTTCATACTTCTGTTCCCCCCCTCTACGTCAGTGTTTCCCAAACTTGGGTCTCCAGCTGTTTTTTTGGACTACAACTCCCATCATCCCTAGCTAGGAAGACCAGTGGTTAGGGATGATGGGAATTGTAGTCCCAGCTGGAGACCCAAGTCTGGGAAACGCTGATCAATGTATGATCTGTGAATGACGAGTTCCATCAGTACTCAGCTGGTGGTCTCTTTTCATTTGTTTGTTTATATGTTTGTTTGTTGTATTATAACTGATAATAAAAATAAATTTTATTTATACCCCGCCCTACCCGACCGGAGCCGGGCTCAGGGTGGCTAACACCAGTAAAATTACAGTAAAAACATAATGGTGGGGGACACCAATTTAAAATACAGGTTAAAATGCAATTTAAAATGCAGCCTCATTTTAAAAGTAGCCCATAGATCAAAACCATAAGGGGAGGGAAACATGAGGGTCAGACTGAGTCCAAACCAAAGGCCAGGCGGAACAGCTCTGTCTTGCAGGCCCTGCGGAAAGATGTCAACTCCCACAGGGCCCTAGTCTCTTGTGTCAGTGCGTTCCACCAAGTCGGGGCCAGTAGTGAAAAGGCCCTGGTCCTAGTTGAGACCAATCTAACCACCTTGTGACCTCCAAAATGTTGTCATTTGTGGACCTTACGGTCCTCTGCGGGGCATACTAGGAGAGGTGGTCCCATAGGTAAACTGCTTTGATAGTTAGCATTGCCCAGGGCGCAAAATAGCCTGGCACCTGCACTGGGAAGGAGAGAACCACTTACATCACCTTCAGTTCCTTGGAGAAAAAGGTAGGAAATGAATTCAATGAACGAACAAGTGACTGGGTTTTGGATTCTGAGTCGGCCTCGTAAAAAACAGTACGGCAAATCCCAGCCCCACCTCTCGCCATATAACTTCCCCTCCAAGGCTATGTCCCCTGAGCCAAATGGGGTGGGTCGGAAGACCCTGCGCTGAAAACAAGGCAGTCGGGTGACCACTTTGCAGCTGGAGAATCATAGAATCTTAGAGTTGGAAGGGACCTAAGGGTCATCTAGTCCAACCCGCTGCAAAGCAGGAATCTCAGCTAAAGCATGCATGACAAATGGCCATCCAACCTCTGCTTAAAAACCTCCAAGGAAGGAAAGCCCACCACCTACAGAAAGACTCTATTCTACAGTCATACCTTGGGGTTACAGACGCTTCAGGTTGTGCATTTTCGGGTTGCGCGCCGTGCCGAACCCGGAAGTACCGGAACGGGTTACTTCCGGGTCTCAGTGCTCGCGCATGCGCAGAAACACTAAATCGCGCTTTGCGCATGCGCAGAAGCACCGAATCACGACCCGCGTGCGCACAGTGGATTGCAAACGTGCCTCCCGCACGGATCACGTTCGCAACCCGAGCGCCCACTCTACTGTCAAACAGCTCTTACTGTCGGAAAGCTTTTTTCCCAAATGTTTAGTGGGACTCTCCTTTCATGTAACCTGAAGCCATTGGTTCTGGTCCTACCTCCGGTGCAGAAGAAAACAAGCTGGTTCCCTCTTCCATGTGACAGCCCAGGAGCTATTTCAGAAGAAGTCTGCAAACTGCCTGCATGCACCTACTGGGCGGAGAAAGGGAGTTCTTTTCCTCGCGTGTCTCCCTCTCCCCCAAGAAAGGGCGTCTTCCCCGCCCCAATCCCCCACTCCCTTCTCCATAGCCTAGAACTACAGCGTTGATACTGGATCGCGGTGGATCTTGCGCTGGGAACCGCGGCGCGCTTTTACTGCGCGCGTGGCAAGTGGGCTGCACGGATGCGCCTCTTCCCACGCTGCTCTATCAGGGGGTTCCTAAACAGGGGAGCTGGGGGGGTGGGGCTCCTTTGAACCCTCCTCCAAAAGCAAACCCTCCCTCCCCCCCTTCCTCCTTTGCGCACCCCTTTCTCCTTTGCCTGTTCCAAGCTCCTTTCTCTCCATCCAGGCCGAGTTAGGGATGGCGTCCCGCCCCTTCAGCAATCTCAATCTCTCTCTCCTTCCTCCGCCTCCCTCGCTTTTCGAATCATACTTCCTGCCTCTCTAGGAAGCAGGGCTGGGTTCCTTTGCCCAAATCGGAAGACTTGAGTGGCAGGACCTGCCCCCACTTTGCAAGCCTTGGGAGTTTTACGCATGCGCGCTTCGTTGGCAAACTGAAGATCTGACAGCAACAGCTGCTGGTTAGCAAAATGGACTTCCCTTACAAGGTGGTGGGCTCTCCTTCCTTGGAGGTTTCTAAGCAAAGCTTAGATGCCAACCTGGCATGCGTGCTTTAGCTGAGATTCTTGCATTGCAGGGGGTTGGACTAGATGACCATCGGATCCCTTCCAACGCTACAATTCTATGGTTATACGTATTAGCCTGGCACCTCCTGTATGCAAGACAGATGCCCTGATGCTGAGCCCTTTTGGAAGGGCCACAGCAAAGAAGCTTTGCATGCAGAAGAGAAGAGGAAGAAGATTTTGGATTTGATATCCCGCTTTATCCCGCTTTGGTGACAGCAGTCACGAAATTAAAAGACGCCTGCTCCTTGGGAGAAAGGTGATGGCAAACCTAGACAGCATCTTAAAAAGCAGAGACATCACCTTGCCAACAAAGGTCCGTATAGTAAAAGCTATGGTTTTCCCAGTAGTGATGTCCCATAAAGAAGGCTGATCGCCGAAGAATTGATGCTTTTGAATTATGGTGCTGGAGGAGACTCTTGAGAGTCCCATGGACTGCAAGAAGATCAAACCTATCCGTTCTTAAGGAAATCAGCCCTGAGTGCTCACTGGAAGCTGAGGCTCCAATACTTTGGCCACCTCATGAGAAGAGAAGACTCCTTGGAAAAGACCCTGATGCTGGGAAAGATGGAGGGCACAAGGAGAAGGGGACGATAGAGGACGAGATGGTTGGACAGTGTTCTTGAAGCTACCAGCATGAGTCTGACCAAACTGCAGGAGGCAGTGGAAGACAGGAGTGCCTGGCATGCTCTGGTCCATGGAGTCACGAAGAGGCGGACACGACTAACGACTAAACAACAACACTACCCTAAGGAGTCTCAAAGCGGCTAACATTCTCCTTTCCCTTCCTCCCCCACAACAAACACTCTGTGAGGTGAGTGGGGCTGAGAGACCTCAAAGAAGTGTGACTAGGCCAAGGTCACCGAGCAGCTGCATGTGGAGGAGCGGAGACATGAACCCTGGTCACCAGATTAGGAGTCCACCGCTCTCAGGGACGCGGACTTATAAAAAATATTGGGGGGGCCCGGGAAAGCTCATGAATAATAAATAAGCTCATGAATATGCAAATAAAGTGGCGCCGCCTCCTCGTGAGCGAATTGGGGAGAGCGTGCTGCGCCTATTAATCAGCTCCAAAGGAATTGGGTGGAGCTTTTGCTCGGGAGGGAGGGCAGGAGGCATGCAGCCCGCCCCTCCCTGTGCATTTTGGGCTGGGGGAGGGGCGGCGATGGCGCTCTGCTGGAGGGGCGCCGGAGATTATTGGGGGGGCGGAGCCCCCCCAAACGAATTTTTGAGGGGGCTCGGCCCCCTCAAGCCCCATGGAGTCGGCGCCTATGACCGCTCTTAACCACTACACTGCACCACACTACACCATTGCCAGTCCGTGTAGAGTACAGTAGGGCTGCCACCTTTGTTCTGGCAAAATGGGTTGATGTGGTGGGTAAATGTGTGGTTTTTTTAATCTGATCCTGTAGTGACTTCAAAGCAATCCATTACAAGCTATTGCAGGATGGCGCCTCTGGAATTTGTCACACACACATACAGGGGCTCCCCAGGTTACAGACGCTTCAGGTTACAGACTCTGCTAACCTAGAAATAGTACCTCGGGTTAAGAACTTTGCTTCATGATAAGAACAGAAATCGTGCGGCAGCAGCAGGAGGCTCCATTAGCTAAAGTGGTACCTAAGGCTAAGAACAGTTTCAGGTTAAGAACAGACCTCCAGAACCAATTAAGTTCTTAACCCGAGGTACCACTGTATTTGCAAATCTGCCTCTGTTTCGCTACCCAGATCTTAAATTCATGACCTTTCACACACCCTTTCAAACACAGGCATTTGGAGAGGATCCGTAACTTGGCAGAGAGGGGTGAAACACTGGATAAAACTGTATCAATGCAGGATGTGGCATTTCACACTGAAATACGGGCCAATCCTGTATTACCGAGGACAGGTGGCAACCCCGGAGTGAGCTGGATCCCCCAATTGCCTGACGGGGCATCAGGCAGCAGCATCCTATGTCCCCACCTCCTCCAGAAGCAGCCTCCCTGCCTGCCTTCACCCCCTGCCTAGAGCAGGGCTCCTTTCCTCCCTCCCTCCCTCCCTCCCCAGTTTCCTTGCACCCCAAAAAGGCGCTTTGCACCCACACGCTCCCTTGCCAAGAAGGCAGAAGCAGAGGCGCGTCGCGCAGCTCAGCGCGTGGGACAATACCCTGCTCCTTTCCCACGGGGAGGGGGCGGAAGTGCTGCCTCTCTAGGAAGCAGCGCTCTCTCTCCGTTTCCGGTCATCCCTGCCTCCTCCATCAATCATTTTTCTTTATTGAGGAGGAGTGGGAGGGGTTCTTGCATTCCTAGAGAGGCCACAGGCTGTCAGCTGGGGTGGGGTGGGTGTCCTTCCTACCCTTCCTCTACTCTGCCCCCCACCACCATTTTTGGGGGGGAAAGCTGGAAAGGTGAGTGGAAAGGGGATAGTGGGGGGGGGTTAGAGAAGGGATAGCTCTGTTATGGAGGGAGAACCCCCTCCCCACCCCAATGAAAAGGAGGAGGGGGTGTAGGGGTTGGGGGGGAAGAGGGCTGGGCGCTTTTCCACAATGCGTAGGGTTGCAGGTTCAATCCCCGACCCCAACCCTCCCAGCTCAACATCTCTTGCTAAACTGGGGTGGGGTCTTCTTTGAAGCTGGGTAAGGCCCTTCATTGCCCAGGACCTAGGGTTGCTACCTTTGTTCTGGCAAAATATGGGGTGGGCTGGTTGCGAGGCATGTTTGGTTTTTTTGTTTTCATCTGGTGACTCCGAAACAACCGAAATTGCAACCTAGCAGCCTAACAGGATGGGTCCCTCTGGAATTTCCTGCACACAAACATGCATTGTAAGTCTGTGCTTGGCTACCCAGAGCTTAAATGTATGACCTGCAGAGGGTTGGGCTTGATGACCCTTAGTTGTCCCTTCCAAGTCTGCAATTCCATGACCTTTCACTCACCCTACCAAGCACAGGCATTTGGAGAGGATCCCTAATTTGGAGAGAGAGGGTGGGGGGGGGAGAGAGAGAGAAAGACCTGAAATACAGGTCAAAACTGTATAATAATAATAATAAGAAGAAAAAGTTATTATTTATACCCCACCCATCTGGCTGGGTTTCCCCAGCACTCTGGACAGCTTATCAATACAGGATGTAGCATTTTACACTGAAATACAGGACAATCCTGTATTGTACAGGACAGGTGGCAACCCTTCTGGGACCCCTGGAACATAGCTGTCAACGTTTTCCTTTTTTAAAGAGAAATTCCCTTATTCCGATTAGGATTCCTCTCAAGAAAAGGGAAAAGTTGACAGCTATGCCCTGGAAGGGATGCTCTGCTAGACAGAGGAGTCATTAGAGGGATAGCTGGATACAGGGACGCAGGCCCAGATGCCCTGCATAGATTTATTGCTTATTTATTGCATGCATTTATTTAATAATAATAATAATAATAATAATAATAATAATAATAATAATTTTTCATTTATACTCTGCGCTCGCTGGCTGGAGCTGGACTCAGAGCAGCTAACATCATATAAATAATACAATATACATAAAAACAAGCAATCAATCGATTAAAATGCATCCCAAAATTAATTCAAATAAATTAAAATTAAAACTGGACAAATGACAATCCTCAGGTTAAAACTGAAAGCGGTTAATACTCGCCAGGACCAACTGTTTCCACTGATATTATAAGGATTTGTGTGCGGGCTGGGAAACCTCCTCCGTGCTTGTTCTTATACAAAGAGAAAATGAGTCAGACTCAACAATGACCTAAGGCCTGGCGGAACAGTGCCATCTTGCAGGCCCTGTGGAAGGATGTCAAATTTCGCAGGGCCCTGGTCTCTTGTGAGAGAGCGTTCCACCAGGCCAGGGCCACTGCTGAAAAGGCCCTGGCTCTGGTCGAGGCCAGTCTGATCTCCCTGGGACCCGGGATCTTCAGGGTGTTGTTATTTGCAGAACGTAAGGTCCTCTGTAGGACAGACCAGGAGAGGCAGTCCCATAGGTATGAGGGTCCTAGGCCATATAGGGCTTTAAAGGTTAAAACCAGCACCTTAAACCTGACCCTGTACTCCACCCGGAGCTAGTGCAGCTGGTATAGCACCGGGTGAATGTGATCTCGCAGTGAAGACCCCGTAAGGAGTCTCGCTGCAGCATTCTGCACCCGCTGGAGTTTCTGGGTCAGTCTTGAGGGCAGCCCCATGTACAGTGAGTTACAATAATCAAGCCTGGAGGTGACCTCACATGGATCACAGTGGCGAGGTCAGGGCAAGAGAGGTAAGCTTAGCTTGGTGGAGATGAAAGAAATGCCGCCTTTGGTATTGCTGTAGCCTGCGCCTCCATAGAAAGGGAGACGTTAAAGATTACACTCAAACTCTTGACAGAAGGCACTGGCACTAGTTGCACCCCTGCAAGGGATGGGAGTTGGCCCCCCAACCACACATTGTCTCGACCCAGCCAAAGGACCTCTGTCTTGGAAGGATTTAACTTCAACCGGCTCCCACACAGCCATTCAGCCACAGCTTCCAGACATCTGAACAGTTACTACACACATACATATACGCGCGCACACACACACACACACAGAGAGAGAGAGAGACACATATAGTCTTTTCCTTATATTTTAATTTATTTACTTTATAGTGTATTCCTTTTATGTCACTATTTTCATCATCATCATTATTTTATTTGTATCGCGCCTTTCCATAGTTGAAACTATGCTCA